GTCTGTCTCAGCATTTCTAGTTGCTTGTAGTTTTTTGTCAGACAGTGGAGTCCTGTGTGATTTCTTCCTTCTATGTGAGCATGTCTTGGTAGTGCGCTTATTTAGGTCTATTTAAACAGCCATGTTGTAGAGGCATTGTGAATGAAGTCCCCCTGACATTTCTACATGTCCTGAAGCACTGGCTCTTGATATTTTCTGAGCCTTGGGTACAGTAGTTGTGTTGTAGATGTATCCATTGGGGCTGGGTACTCCACAATGAGTTGTTTTCTGGATTTTGATCTGTTATTTTTTTTTTGTCTGTTCCAAAGAGAAGTATCTTTGATGGATATATAAAGATGAATATTTAGAATGTGATTAGGAATTATGCTGATTTACTAAAGTGGTCATAGTAGGTTCTCCTGATATCCATGACTTCACTAGCCCTGGTACTATAAACCAGGGAAGAGCTATTTTTTTTGTTTGTTTTGTTTTTGTTGTTGTTGCTGCTGTTTTTATCAAACAGAAAGTGTAGAAGAAACATAAGTAGATCTAATTCCACAAAGTGATAGATCCTTCACTAGAAAGAAAACTAAACTCTTACCTACATCCATCCCTGATAGAACACGACAGGATCTCTCAACAGACCAGCTTTGTTGAGCTCACTTTTTGATGACTGTGTATAGCAAAGAGTCCCAGCTATGGATGTCTATACTGCTAAAGAGCTCTCTCCTTTAGTCTGCCATGAAAGGGTTGCTAGACCAACCTCAGAGAGTCTGAAATGGACTCTTAAAAAGCTACGGAGGCATCCATAAAAACCTCTGCATATGAAGAGTGGGGAATGACCCCTATAGGTTCATAGATTTGAATGATTCCTATTAGAAGTAGTGATCCTGTTGGAGTGGGTGTGGCCTTGTTTGAGGAAATATGTCACTGAAGGTTGACTTTGAGGCTTCAAAATGCTCAAGCCAGGCCCAGTGTCTCACTCTTTTCTGACCCATCTGGATATAGAATTCTCAGCTACCTCCCCAGCACCATGCCTACCTATATGCCACCATCCTTTCTGCAATGATGATAATGGACTAAACTTCTGAAACTGTATGCCAGCCCTAATTTTTAAATGGTTTCCTTTGTATGAGTTGTCATGGTCATGGTGTCTCTTCATACAGCAATAGGACACTGACTTAAGACAGTTACTAAGACAAACCTTGTAAAATCTTTGGCCATATGGAAAGCAACAGCAACCAAAATATAAATACAGAGCAAATGAAAACTGGGAAAAACTACTTTCAAGCTACAACTGTTTGAGATATAAATGTTGCCTGAGTGCCTCTCAGAGGTCCTACAGAAAGAATTTTGGTTGGGAAAGAACACCAAGGCATAACACAAACCCTAAAGAAACAAAGAGTGATGGCAGAAAAGCTGGCAGCTCTCTACCAATAACAGAACTCTCCTGAGACTCACTGGAGCTCAGACTTCACTCCATGAAGAAGCTGTGATATCACCCTAAATATAGGGTCAGTGACCATCTGAGCCTAAGTAAAGCCTCCCAAATAAACGTCCCATGCTCATTCCATGGATTAATTCTTTCAACCACTATAACTGCCTTTGCTTTTTAAAAAGTGGGGTTACTATTCATTGTTTCAGTCCCTTAGCATCATGCAAATCACACAGTAATATTACAAGGTATGTGAGAAGGAAGAGCAGAAAAACTGCTCTCTCATGGAAGGAGCCACCCAAAGAAATAGACATAAAAATGTGCCTAATGCTGAACTTGTCAGTTATGAGTACTTAAATAACTACAGTGATCATTCTACAGAACCTACTGAGAGGGGTTGACCAGCAGGCATAAAAAGGAGATGATTCATCAGTGAAATGCAAGCTATGGTTAAAAACAAAAAATCAAAGAATGCTGTTTAAAGTTAGGTGGACTGTCAAGTATGGCAACACATATCAAGCATGGCAAACCTTAATCAGAGAACTCAGGAAGCAGAGTCAGGGGGATCACCATGAATTTAAGGACAGCTTGTTCTACATGGTGAGTTCTAAACTAGCCAGGACTTCATAGTTAGAACCTATCTGAATGGATTGATAGATGATAGATAGATAGATAGACAGACAGACAGACAGACAGACAGAATTAGTTGAGTGACAGAAATAACAGAGTATGACATCAGTGAATTTAAAATTTAAAAACAGGTCAAAATAAATTATTTCAAATGAAAGAAAGAACAAAACAAATTTTCAGAATCTATGTAAAGCTGTATAAATCCTAAGTCCAACTCTTCTATGCATTTAATTCTGCTTAAAGATTTAGCTGATCTTACTGAGTTAATCTAGAAGTTGTGTGAAGATGAGAAATAATGAGGCAGAAAAAAATAATAGAAGCCAAAAATTATCCTAAACAGATGAAGGGAAGCAAATTACAAATTCAGTAGGGCTTGCAAAGCCCAGGAAGAAAACTAAATTTACAGAAAATCTAATATGTAAAAACATGTTTTAAGAGAGTAGTAGCTGAAGACAAGAAATTGATGAATGTTGGGAAAATATATCCTCACAGGAAAATGAAAGAACAGAAACAGACAGAAGACAGTATTACATAAGAATGAAGACAGTAACTCCACTCACAAGAGAAACAAAATCCTTTTTCTGTTTTATAAAAATTGGGATGTATCAGACTCTAATATTGGGGAGTAGCTGGACTGGCACACAGGGCCCATCTATGATGCCAAAGCTTTCATGTGCTTTAGGGTAGGGTAACAGAACAGCACAGTTGTAAAATTCACTGAACATGATTACTTCAGTTTTAAATAAAAATGATGATTTGCAGAAAAATGTAATAATAACAGAAAACACAAGCAACTTTAAGCAAAAATTTTTGTGATCACATGAATTAGGTTAAATCCGAAGATGATTGTCTTAGAGTTTCTCTTTCTGTAATAATACACTGTGACCAAAGCAACTTGGGGAAGCCAGGCATTATTTGGCAAACACTTCCATGCCACTGTTCATCAATGAAGTAATTCAGTACAGGATTCCAAACAGGGCAGGAACCTGGAGGCAGAAGCTGATACAGAAGTCATGGAGGTGTGCTGCTTATTGGCTTGCTCGCAATGGCTTGCTCGGCTGCTTCTTTATAGAATCCAGAACTACTAGCCCAGAGGTGGCGCCACCCACAGTGGCATTGGTCTTCTTCATCAGTCAGCACTTAAGGAAATGTCCCTGGCTGTCATTTTATTAATGGCAGGAGCATCTAAAATATCAGCAAACTCCCCCCCTCTTTTTTTTTTTTCAAGACAAGGTTTCTCTGTGTAGCTTGGTTGTCCTGGAACTTGCTATGCAGACAAGGCTGGCCTTGAACTCATAGAGATTGGCCTTCCTCTGCCTCACAAGTGCTGGGATTAAAAACACGCACTGCCACAACTAGGCTAACAGAATTTATTGATACAGCATTCACTGTAGTTCTCAGCTTGTATATTAGTTTCTGTTTTTATCCATCTTATATTCTGAAACTTTGCTTTCTATCTCCCCATTTCTGCCTCTTGCCACCCAAGATAGTGAAAACAGTTTTTGAGCATGACATCAGCAACTATTTATGTGTATTATTTCTTATTTTGTTATAGTCTACCATAGGTAAGCTACTTAGTGCCTCCTCAGAGTTTCTGTGGTAAATTTGTCTTAACTCACTGCCTCGTAAACTACTTCCTAGAAAGTACTATGTCTCCTGTTTCCTATATAGTAAATGATATGGATACAAACAAAGCAGATACTCAATAAACATGCTTTGATTTTAAAAAAGAAGAAAAGAAAATGTCCCAGAGGCATGCCTACACACTTATAGATACATTTTCTGAATTGAGCCTCCCTCTCCTCTAATGACTCTAGCTTATTTCAAGTTGACATAAGACCAACCAGGACAACAATATTCAAAGAAAGGAAACATCATCCAATTAGCTTGAATTCATTGACACTGGATACATGTTCAAGATACAAAGAGGAGCCACTACAGTGTTGGCCATTCTTGCTGTTTAGATGTGTAGAACAGATTACTAAGGAAGTTATTTATTATTTTTGACATAATACATTAACTTGAGTATACCAAGATTAATCATTGATGTTAAAGAATGTTTACACTTCCTATAAGTGATAAATATTTATTTAATAAAATTTTCAAACTGAATTAATAGGAACTTAGCCTGCCAGACTGACAGGATACAGGAACCATGATAGGACATGGGTTAGAAAAAGATGGCAATGTTAGTATTATATTTTCTACTGTAGCAAAGCATGAGGTAATCAAGGCATATAAGAATTTGAAATTACCAAATTGATCTCTGTATTGATTAACTTTGACCTACTTTAATCACTGTAGAAAACTGACTATAATACAAGTCATTACAAATAAATAAGAATTTGTATATTATATGTTTTCAAGAGAATGCATTTTTATTGCAAGTTGATACAGACCTTAAATAATGTCAGTGTTTGCCCATAAAAATTTCACTTTAGAAAATGTCTGTCAGGCCAGGCATTGGTGGCCCACGCCTCCCTAGTCCCAGCACTAAGGAGGCAGAGGCAGGTGGATCTCTGTGATTTCAAGACCAGCCTGGTCTACAGAGCTAGTTCCTGGACAGCCTCCAAAACAATACAGAGAAACCCTGTCTCAAAAAAAAAAAAAAAAAAAAAAAAAAAAAAAAAGTGTCAAACTTTGACCCATTGCATATCAGAAAGACCAAATGCATTTTTTTCTAATTGTGAGAGGTAAAATTCTTGTAATAATTTCAAGCCTGCTCCACAATTAACACTTAAGTATAAATGTTAGTGATAATAGTCCTTTGTGTTTATTTTAAGAAAATGGGAAGGAGGTGCTCCATTGCAATAGCTGTTTGTATCTTCTTACATTCCCTGACATTCTGCTCAGCTTTCTGAGTGTGATTTTTCAAGAAGAGATTATGTTTGACTATTTAATGGCAGTGCAGCTATAATAATAAAATATTCAAGCTTGGTATTCCATGTGCCTCCAGATGCTCACACCAGAGAACTCCCAACACTCCTCCACTGCGCAGCGAAGTTTGGCTTAATGAATCTGGCTCTTCATCTGCTGCAGTGTTCAGGGGCAACATGGGCAGTCAGGATGAAGAGTAAGGATGGTTCTGACCTGCTGCATATTGCTGAGCAGCATGGTCATGAAGAACTCAGGAAAATCTTTGAAGAGTTCATGGTAAGTTTTTCCCTCTCCTTATCTCTGCAGCTGGTTCTTTATGTGTGCATATAATATAAACATGAATACATTGCTGTTTTGAAAAATATGCCCTCCCACAGCTAGTAACATGGTGACAGACAAAAGCATCATTGCCTAAAAATTGTCCACCATCTTAAATACAGCGTCATAAGATTTGTGACCCACTCCACTTATTTACAGAAATCTGACCCCCAGCCATGTTCACCTGCCATTGAATCCCATTGTCCTGGTGGCATCTAGAGAACTTTCTCAGTATTGGAGAAGAGGTGCAGAAAGGCAATGAAACTATCTGTCTTCATTTCTTTGAATAAGTGTCTAGATAAGGTATTATTGGGTACATGAAAGCAGACCAGTAAACGCTGGATTAAAGCAGAACATTTTGGCAATCATTCAGAAAGTGTGCCCGATAACAAAATTAATTTACATTGTTCAAACTTGTTTCTCTTCATTTTCTCTCCCTGTTGAGTCTCCATTCCTCATTGCTTCTGTTGAAACCCCAAATTTCAGAACACTCTAGATAAATAATAGTTTAGTGAGATGACAACAAGAGAAAGATTTTAGAAGGGAATATTATCTCGGTAAGTAAAGCATGCACATGTCTTCCCATGATCGAGTTTAGAAGAGCCACTGCTCTGTAACAGAACAGAAGAAGTGCATGTTTTGCTTCAGAAAATGAATTATTCTTGTGAAGGTTCTGGGGAAAGTTGAATGTGACAACGATTATGGCAGTGAATATGTCACAATTTATCTTTGGATTCTTGCAACGAATATAATTGTATTGCCAATAAGAAGTTAATGTAGAAAGATACAATACTATAAATTGATTCTGTTTGTTTTAGCCCTTAGTGGTTTACCACAGAAATTAATCAATTATTAGTGTTACAAAAATAGTGACCATTTGGAGTTCCCGAAGAATAAAATGGTAATCAGTGGAGCACTTTTCTCCATTTACCAGGAGTATCAAATTCTTTATCAGGAGCTTCTGAATGCTGTCTACTCTCTAAAGTTCCAAGAGAACATATTTGAACATACTTAAAGACAAAAATTAAAATAAAATACACACAGAGCACATAATCAAGTTAAGGAACCACAGCATTTCAGTCTAAGGCCTTTACTCAGAAGCATGCCTCACCTGTATTCTGCTGCACTGTAAGTGATGACAGACACACATGCTGGTGATTGAATTCATTCTACTATGTGTCCTCTATTCAAGGTCCTTGATCAGTGGATATGAACTGCATCTCAGCGAAGTCCATTGTATCAGCTTTACATTACCTGTAGCATAGTCATTTTGTACTCTCTGAACTGCAAGTTTCCTAAATACTATTCTCTAATTTTCAATCTCTGGTGAACTCTGGTTTAAACTTCTTCAGCTGTCGTTACTTACAAAGATAATCACCAACTTTCAGAGTGATATTTCCTCATGAGAACTGCATGTGCTGCTAGATAGCACTTCAGAGTACCCCGACAACTAGCCTTATGAAAGACACCATAGGCCTGTAACAGAAAGACTGACAGATAGTAAACTATTTTTTGTTTGTTTGTTTGTTTGTTTTGTTTTTTCTTGCATGCTCTCAGTATCTCTGCCTCTGCTTCTGTACTGATTCAAAGTGTATGCTATCATGGTCTCTAGGTGACTATTCAATCTGTGATATTAGCTTATTATTAATGTTGTAGGGTTCAGCTTGATCACTATTGCATGGAATTTGTGAAGTGACTTTTACAGGCTATTGTAAGCTATCCCTTTGCCAAGTGTTTCTAGAAAAATGTGTCATTGTAGATTAGACAGATAATCATCTTTCCATGACTGAGCATGTGACTGTGGCTGCACTAGGAGGTGGCAGATCTGCAAATGCATTTTAATGACTATAGATAGCTTAAGCTATAATTTTCAAGCAATCAAATTCCCTCTTATAAATGTGTGATTAAGAAACTGTAAATATGAATATGATGTGGTGACACTCTACTTACCAATTTTGTATAAACAAATCTAAGAGCCATAGCACCTTCATGAAGCTATGAAAGATAACCTGTCGTTGATGCTATCTATTCCAAGTTATCTTAACTGTGTCTTTAAATGTGTGTCTAAATTGAGTAGCAAATATTTTATATAATCGTAATGTTACTAAAATATTTTATTGTTTTTTAAATATTTACTCAACACTGAGTCAAATTCTAACCATATATATATATATATATATATATATGTATGTATGTATGTATGTATATCCTCAAACTTTCCTAGAACTATTTTCCCCAAAGATTTTGAAGGACACACTGTTCAAGTTTGAGGCTTACATTCCACCAATGGACCATTTGTTTAAAAAAAAATCTACCTACTTCCCTACCTATTTACATACTTTTCACTTCAAACATTCAAACATAACCTGGCCTTAACCAGTTTGCTGATTTATTCTATTATTCTTAATCTTTCATCAGTAGACATGGTTGACTTTAGAGTATTACATGGAATTATATTCAGTATGTTGTGCCATAATAAGTGGGGAGGAAAAGAAGCCAATTACAACTTCAGAATAATATAGTCAAAAGGCATCATCTGCTATTCACAAACCAGATGCATCCTTACCTTGGAGTCAACTATGTAGAGGCACGAAACAGGGCACAGGAGGAGTAGAGGAGTCCTTAAACCATAGTTTTGTGTTTTATGACGTTTTTCTATGTGAATGAAACACTTGATTTTTAACTTATTAACAGAGATTTTCATTGTAAATATCTTTTAGACTTAATGGTTATTGGATTTTATTTTCATTGTGATGAAATAGCCGAAACAGGAAGCATCTTAGGTGGAGACATTGGTTTTCTCTCATAATTTAAGGACCTCAGTCTGTCTTGAGGCAGTGGCTATGGCCCTATGGTGTCCAGAGTACGCAGAAATTGCTCATTCATATCTCAGCTCTCTGGGAGGAAAGAAAGGAGAATTCCTGTGCACCACTGTCTTTCTTTCTTCGCCTTTCTTGTTCAGTCTGGAACGCTATCTCCTGAGATAGTAACCCCATTCACAATAAATATCTCCTGAGATAGTAACCCAATTCACAATAAATATCTCCTGAGATAGTAACCCCCATTCACAATAAATATTCCCCCCTCGATTAATCATTTTTGTTTTTTAGAAATATGGTTACAATCACATCTAAAAATATAACTCCAAAGTACTGTAAATATTTCATCACCCAGTCACCGTCACAAGAAAAATAAACCATCACAGCTTTCTAGTACCTGTATTTCTTTCAGGCTACTGTTATTTCTAGATGTCTTCCCCAGCCTCCAGTGGATTCCCATACCCATTTACATATTGGCAGCACTAATTGGAATTAGGGGGCTATGAAAAATACAAATTGCTAGGGAAGTAAGGGTAGAGCAGGAGGAGGGGAGTGGGGTGAGTGTGTGACCATATTTCATAGAATACATGTATGAAAATGAAAAGAATATCAAATCCATATATTTCTATAAATTACAGAGGATTTTAAATAGTAAATTATGTTTTAGTTTCTCACAATGGAATTAATTTGAAAGGTGGCTAGACAAAGATAAAAGACTTAGTTATTAATCCTACAACAGGATATAAACCACAGCTTACTTAACAGAATTCTTGGGAAAATCCTCAACAATTGAAATAGCAAATAGCAACACTGAAGATTACTTCAATGATGTAAAACCTAAATTAAAATAATAAAGACAAAGAAATTGAAAACAAAACTGGAAGCTGTCCTCAAACTGAATGGACTTTGAGACCCAAGATAAAGTATGCTGCAAATATTGCTGTGTTTAAAGCAGTAATACTAATATATCCTTGCAATAATTTGTCACCACATTAATTCCCATCAGTGGAAAGCCTTTAACAAAATGAATGGTTACATTAAAGTCCCAAAAAACAAGGAAAATAAATCCTCCACTATACAACATTAAAATAGGCTGGTTAATAACTGGAAAAGCAACAGACACTAATTTTAGGGCTAACTTTCAGGAAATATCTTTGACTACAGTGATCATATTTTTTGGTGTGAATATTAAAAAGTTCTACATTGTAAAGATTCTTTAAGGAATTTTATCAAATCAGAAAAGTGATTTCCATGTATTGTCAATAGGACTTCTGAATGTCAGTCTATTACTCATATCTGCAGTGAGGTTACTGTGACATCTTGCCTACTAGCCATCCTGGCCTGTGGACTGTGGCTCAAGTGTGTAGGTATAAAGGTGGCAGGTGTTTGTGGATGGCCTGAAAGGAGAGAAATGCTGTTGTGTTCAGCTATAGACCCTGATCTTTTCTTCACATTAAATGACTGAAGTAAAAATGTGGAGGCACTTTGCAGAAGCCTTGGTAATAAGAATTAGTTGATTGACAAAAGCAAACAATTTGCTACTCAGTGGTCAGGCTTTGTACTTGGGCTTGTGACAGTCACTCTTCCTGACTCGTTGTTTGCTCATTCTAAGCATTGGAAACTTAGCACGTCATATGTAAGTATGCGGTTCTCCCATAATTGGTTCCCTTTAATTAAGTATACATTAGTATTATATGTATTTATATTGAAGCACCTCACTCTCCTCTCTCTCTCTCTCTCTCTCTGTCTCTCTCTCTCTCTCTCTCTGTGTGTGTGTGTGTGTGTGTGTATGTGTGTGTGTGTGTTTCTATTGTATGTATTGGGAAGCTCACAGTGGGAAATAGCTGCCTTCCAGTGAGCACGTGCTTAATCTATATTTACTCCTTGATGGCTACCGAAGGCAAGTGTTCAAATTAACAACTTGTTTTTCTCACTTATTGGTATCTTTAATCATATGTCAATAAATTAACTGGTCATGGTATCTAGAATTTTTTTAAACTCTGGCATGTGTATGTCATTGTGTATGTATGTATGTTCACATATGTGCAGGCCAGAGGTTGACATTAGGTGTCTTCCTATATTGCTTTCACTTTGTTACCTGAGGCAGCGTAGCTCCCTGAACTTGGAGTTTAGATTTAG